TAAAACTAGCATTGCAAATAGTGACAAAGAAGAATATGATGCCATGGATGAAGAAAAGGAGACCAAAGAAGATGACCACCCAATAAAGAAACCTGACACCTAATTTCCATCTAAGTTCACTTTGACTTTGTCAATCTCCATCTAAGTTCATTTTGACAAAGTCAACATTTGCCTATATAAACAGCAAAAAGCACTGATGATTATTCATTCGGAATCGAAATATGGCTTTATTTGCAGCATGAATTCGGAAAATAAGTTTATTTTGAATTTTAATAAACTAAACGTTCACCAAAAAACTTTAGTGAGAAAAATTGAAAAAACGAACTACAAACATATTAACGCCAAACATTCGGTAGAATTTATAGAATATTGTAAAAATTATAGTCTATTACCAATATATATATATATATATATATATATATATATATATATATATATATATGAAAGGTGCATTAAATCTTAAATATATGTGATATATTTAACTAAGATGTATCCACCTGAAAAAGACAAGATGTTATCTGGATCAGAAGGAGATTACAAACATGCTAAAGACTACATCGCCAATCTTTCAACTTCTCAATGCGATTCATTGCAGCAATCTTCAAAAGTGGTTGGTTCCATTGCATTACGTCTACATTTCTTTTTCACTTAATCCAGTTCTTTCATGCTTATCATATAATTATTTTAAATTAACAAATTGATTAGTAAATTGCATGAAACGTTTTTTAAAACAAATGCAGAATTATTTGAAATTAATTTTTTCTTGGAGTGTTTTGGACTATCATTTCAATGCTTATTTAATCAAGTCAAACTAAAAATGTTCAAACACAGGGCACTCTGTCGTTGCCGGAATGGGAAGCTTCAAGTAAGAGCAATTTATGTTTAAATTTTTTCATTTCGGTGGTATAGAAGTAATTCAAACTTTGATGCTAGATAGAAAAATTTTGTGAAAAAATACTGATCTGAAATCTCTATGATGTTTAATTCTTATTATCCCTCTTCATTATAGATAAATATTGTCGGACGAGGTTTTACCACGTGCCAAAATCTCTCTCGATTACAACTTTTAATTGATGGATTGCAAAATTTTTTGCTCGTTCTTGGTCACTTAGCGTTTAAAAATGCAAAATTAGCTAGGCGACTAGATGAAGGCAACAGGAACGCCTTGGCAACAAGCTTAGTGGCAAACTACTTGTGCTCATAAACGTAAGGGTGTATGGTTGTAGCCGAATCACCGTACCATTTAATTAAAACAATACCGCGTGTTTAGGGTCTTATTGTGAAATTTTTATTGTTCCGTGTTACTGAAAATTGGTTATAATTATCAGTTTAAATATAATTGCTTGATATATTTTTTTAAAAACAGGTTTATACATAGTATTCATGTTTCAAAAGAATCTTTGACTACGGATGGGTTTCATGATAGATTCAAAGGCCAATTTATTTAATTTTTAATCGTGGGTATTATTGTTTTTCTAATTACTCTACCTCTATTTGATTACTGTTTCAAATCTATCAATCGTTTAATTTGTTTAACCCATGTATAATCTGCAAAAACTTAATAAAATAAAAAATGAAAATAATTTATATACATGATTTAAACGAGTTTATGTATGGCGGATATATAAAATTGTTTTTCACCACTTGTTAAGATAAATGGTATAAAATAATTGATTGAAAATAAAATCACGGATTGAAAGTTGACCAAGAGACATTTGAATTTGAGTCTTACCCTAATTTCAACTCTCGCGTCCACAGTACGTGCTTGATAATGTAAGTCCGATACAAAAAATGTTGAGCTTTAGATTATAATATTCACTTTAGAGCGGAATTATCGGCACACATAGTTCATTCATTGATTCAGAATTTAAGCAACACTCAAAGATTGTGTTGTCGGCTTCAAAATGTTTTGCCGATACCAATGCCGACAATCATTTTTGACAGTACTGTCACCGATGAAATGTTTTTAAGCGTGGGTTCTTAAAATCGGAAATATTTTTTTATCTTAACTATTATTTTATCTTAACGTCCTACCTCGGGGGAACCTGGTCTCTGGACGCAAAACGAAGATTGATTGATATTATTTTATCTTAACCTTATATCTATAACAGTGCATTAGGTAGTTATACAATATGAAAATAATTGATTATCATTAATTGTTTGAAGTGAATCTTCAAATTTGTAGCAAGTTGATATGAATATTAATGTCCAGCGCCGGATTGTGGGCTCTATAATGAAAGCTGGAGGAACAGAAGCGAAATCTTCTAGTTTTTTCTAATATATAGAGCAATATTTCAGAGCTGTCTTTCAAAAATTCTTCTGTAGTTTTACGGCGTTTTTGCACTGATCTTTACGCCTTTGGCCATTCTTTTGAAAGACGGGGCAGTTAGATGTTGAAAATGTTTATTTCGTTTATTTGGCATTCTATTAGTATGTGTCGTACATTTCGTACGTTACATTTCTCACAAAGTGGAGATCTTGTTTTGTTTAATTTAATATCCATGAATGGGTTATTTTGGAATGACTGATTTTTAATCTTTTTATCGTGTTTAGGTTATTTCGACTTAGCTCAAAAATTTAATGTTAAAAAATTACTTTGACGCAATATGATTATGCCGTATATATATAGAATATAACATGTTCTATACATATGGATTATGCAAATAATTTTATTTTATAAATCAATTTTATTTTATAAATGTCATATAAGTAAGCAATATTTTACGGTTTTTAAATCATCCAAAAGAACAACATTTCAAGACAGCGGGGACATAAGTTTTCGAATACGAATATACAAAATATAGCAAAACTGGATTTAAATCTCAAATTTAACTTTAATTTACGTTTACCGATTGTTGCAACAAGTGCTGAATTTGATTGAAAAATAGATCCTATACACTCGAGAATGAATTGGAAAACTATATATTCTAACTTTAATAAAATAATTACGACAAGAATTTTGTTAGAAATATTGAGAAATGTAATAAAAAAAACTTTCCAACGCTAGAAATTCGGTAGTTTTCATAAATTACTGCATTACCTAATTATGGTCTTTGACCAGCTTATATAAATATATATATATATTAGAGTTGCACCGTACAGTACTTTTTAATATCCGGCCGGAATATGGAGGAATGTCACACAGAAATCGATAGCTGGAGCCAGCTGAAGGATGTTTGCATGACACTACGTAGCTTATCGGTAGGTATGTTTTTGATAACGATAGCAAAGATTTCATAATTAAGTTCATAGTGTTTATAAAATAATTTGAAACTTTTTTGTAATATAGTTTATAAACAGTCAGAAAAAGTCCAAAAATTTTTTTAAAAAATTATAAGAGAGTGGGCCGCAAAATAGATTATTTCAAACTGTCTCTGCTTGTTATTTTTGTAGTTGATTTATTGAGATGTTATTACGATGCTACTTTGATAGGCAATTGATTTTTTAGGGTAAATATTTCAGTTCAAGTGTTAATGATCATTGGAATAAGCTAGAGTAGTGTTACAGCTTTAACAACGCAAGCATTCGAGTCAAGCTCTGTTAAATGGGTTTTTAATTTCATGTATTTGTCTTAATAACAGTGATTTTCACACAGAGTCATCTTCTTCACCACTACAATATTTACGTTATGTTAAGTTATTGGATTAAGTTTTAGTTACAGTTTATTTATAGTTCAATGCCGGTATTATACTGTGTATTACATAGGCTGAGTTATTATTTTAAATATTTCATTTTTTTATACATTTTTATTTTTTTATATACATGTTTAAAATTGTTATTTAAAAAACCAATTTTTCAAAACGCAGAAATAAGAATGTTACGCAGTTTTTTCCTTAATATCAGTTCTTTGTATGTTAATACTTTCTAAATATTTATGTGTATGTGTTTTGAGGTGGTTAAACGCGATTGGATGCGTTATGTCAGATGGCTATTGGCTGGTTAGTTTACGCTCGTCCAATCAAAATCATCCATCTGGCGATTCACTTTTCATAAGTAGAGTTCCTCTTTTCGGTTTGTCACTTCGTTTTTCATCATCTCTGGTTGCGTTTTGTTCGGTCTGCAAGTTCAAAATGAATAAAATCACTTTGTTATGTCTTGTAATTGTTAAATTGATCGCTACCGTTTTCACGGAACCCACAGTTTATTTCAAAGAAGAATTCGATGGTACATAATCGTAAATTTGTAGTGTATAATAATTTATTTATTTATTATTTATAATAATATATAATTACATTATTTATATTTATAATATGGTAAAGTAAAATTAACTTGCTTATTAATGGTTTTTATTTTTGGGCGGAGGTTGTAAATTAAGATATGATCTTAATCTTATAAATCCTAACGAAAATTAAATTATCAAAGCAGTAATGAGTAATGTGTCCTGTTCCTTATTTATTAGTAAGGAATATAGAATAAAATTATTATTTCTCTTTAATATTTTTTCAGATGGTTGGCGGAGCCGATGGGTAGAATCTACAGCTAAAGGTTCAGATCAAGGTGAATTTGGATGGAGTGCTGGAAAATTTTTCAACGATCCCGAAAAAGATAAAGGTTTATTTTATATATTCTTATGTTTGGTTTATTTTATCATGTTATAAAATTTAATCTCAACGTTATTCATTGGGTTAAAATTTAAATTAAAAGGCTTGAAAACAACACAAGATGCTAAGTTTTATGGTATTTCTGCCAAATTTGATAAGCCTTTCTCAAATGAGGGAAAAACACTAGTGGTTCAATTCTCTGTGAAACACGAACAAGAAATTGATTGTGGAGGTGGTTATGTAAAGATTTTCCCAAGCGATCTTGATCAAAAAAATATGCATGGTGACTCACCATATAACATTATGTTTGGCCCTGATATCTGTGGTTACAGTACCAAGAAAGTGCATGTTATATTTAATTACAATGGCAAGAATTTACTCACCAAAAAGGAAATACGATGCAAAGTATGCAACTTGCAATTTCATAAGCTAAAGTACACAATTAAACTGTTAATTTTATTTTAGGATGATGTTCTCACCCATTTATATACCTTGATAGTACGGCCGGATAACACTTATGAAGTTAAAATTGATAATAAAAAAGAAGAAAGTGGTACTCTTGAAGAAGATTGGGATTTCCTAGAGCCAAAAAAAATTAAGGTTGATTACTATTTTCTGGTTAATTCACTCCTGTTTATTTTTTTGAATGACTAGTCTAAAAAGAGCATAAAATAATGAAAATTGGGTTTTTCAATATAACAAGTAATTGCTGTAAACTTCATGTTAGCTTTTTTGGGTAATAGTAATTTTGGTAAATATACAATTCACTAACAAAAAGCAACTTAAATTAGTTTTCATTAGCTTTTCCAAAAGAAAATAGATGTTTTATTTTTTAAAATGTTGGAATTTGAATATGAGCTAGCCAATAAATTAAAGCTAGGCTCTCAACTTTGTCTCAATTAATGCAATTGCATCTCTTACAGTGTGCTACATTTAGTAATAGTGGGGATCTAGACAACATTGAAGAGAGGGCCAAAATTTTGAAAATGTTTGAATTTAAAGACAAAAGAGCTAGGATTTGTAATAGTTTGGCCAAAATTAGGCTAGGGCTTTTTTGGCATAAAATGGTTGTTCTTTCTGTGAGTTTTACTAACTTTTAATACAAATACCGCTGAACTTCCACTATTTGGTGCTTACATTTTGTTTAATCAAAAATGTTTTTTTTATAAATTTTTCACATACAGAAATGAGCATAATTTTCCAGAAAACTTGTTCCACTAATGAATACAAATTCATTGTGTATAGTCTTACAAATTTCAACTTTATTATATTAGTAATTTTTAAAATTGACTAAAAAAAACATTTGTCATACAATTTAATCTTGATATTTATTGGCTTTGATGCCTCTAAGAAGATGCACTAATTGCATGAGCTTATTAAAATAAAACATTTGTCATACAATTGTTTTGGAATAAAGTGGATAGATGGTATGAGTTAGTATTAGTAGTAATAAATGTTTGATTGAGTTGGTAGTAATAAACATAATTCTAATAGTTATATGCTGTAGCTGATTGATAAAGTAGTAACTAATCATAAAAAAAACTACAGCATAAAAAAGGTTTAGTGTGTTTGTTTTTGTTCAAAGTAATCAACATAATTGAAAAAAAAAAACGAAGATAGCATGCCTTTAAATTTGTAATATAAATTTAGAAATTAAAATGCCATATTGAAATAAATTAGGACCCAGATGCCAAAAAACCTGAAGATTGGGATGACAGAGAAAACATTGATGATCCGGATGACAAAAAACCTGAAGATTGGGATAAACCAGAACATATTCCAGATGCCACCGCTACAAAACCAGAAGATTGGGATGATGAAATGGATGGAGAATGGGAACCACCGATGGTTGATAATCCAGAATACAAAGTATTATACTATTGATGTTATGTTATATTAAGAATTATGTAATGAAATTTTTGTTAACAGGGTGAATGGAAGCCAAAACAAATCCCCAATCCATCTTACAAGGGATCATGGGTCCATCCAGAAATTGATAACCCTGCTTATGTGGCAGATTCCAAACTATACAGCTATTCAGACATAGGTGCTATTGGATTTGATTTATGGCAGGTCGGTTTTGTGGCTTTATCCAAAACTTTGATCAATTCCTCAAAATATTTTTCTGTTCAAGATTTAAGCATATTTACAACCTGCACTAATGCTGAAAATGGTTGCAAATAACTTATATTTGACATATTAAAATCTAGGTTAAATCAGGATCTATTTTTGATAATATCCTAATCACTGATGATGAAGCCTATGCCGAAAAATATGGAGAAGAAACCTGGGGTGTTATGAAAGCTGGAGAAGCAAAGGCCAAAGAAAAAGCTGATGAAATAGAAAACAAAAAACGTGAAGAAGAGATGGCAAAACAAAAAGGTTCATTTTATGTGACCTGTTAAAAAACGCTTATTTTAGCAATTTTGAAATTAAAATTAGGTGAATTGACTAAAACTTTAATTTAGGTTATGTTTATTATTTTTACAATAACAGAAGAAGACAAAGCGAAAGCAGATGACGATGATGACGATGAGGATGAGAATGAAGAAGATGAAGACGAAAAGAAAACAGATGCGAAAGTAATATATTTTAAAAAAATTTAACGTTGCGTGCATTAATTATATATTGTTTTTGCTTATCAATAGGATCAAGACGAAGAGCCAGAAGAAAAACCTGAAGAACACGACCCTAGCGAATTATAAAAACTGTATTGAACCGCTATTTTATTTTCTACATTTTAGATGATTTTTACTGGTTTTTTGCTGTTGGATTTTATTTTTATCTGGTTGTTAGTTAAACGACAAGAATCGTTTCTGTTTAATTTTTAAAAATTGGTTAGACGGGGTTGCTAAGGCTATTTATTTGTCTTAGTTTACAATTGTGAAAATCGTTTGAGAAAATTTACTATTGTCATATTTGTGTAATCTGTAAATAAACATGTCCAATTATTTTTGTCTTGAGTGTCGAGCTGTGAATTAATTTGGGCAATCACCTTCGTCTTGTTAGCTCGGGGTTGAATTGTGAGTTGTATGGCATCTGCCTTTCATCACATATAGTTTCCGGCGTGTTCTTGCATGACAGTTGCTGCTGTCTTGACCTTTCTAAGTTTTCTCTGGATATTCTTTCTGCTCTTAACTGCTCGTATGACTTACTGCCGCTTTTTGTAATACTCTTTGCAGGGTACTTCTGATGTGTATAAAGGTTATTTGCTAAAGTTAATATAGATGTGAACTGAACACGTTTCAACAAAAATGTTTATTCGAAAGATGAGATGAAGTCCGGTAGTGATGCACACTGCCATATAGCAAGGTGTTTGCAACAGATATGCTCATCAAAATCAATGAATTGTTAAAGAATAACAGCGCTCCAGAGTGAGAGTAGTTAAAAAATATCACAGAAAGCCTTCAAGCATCAAAAAAAAAAATAAATGTAAAATACTTTATCTGAGGTTGAAACTTTCTGTTCAATTTTTCTTGTGCACTCTTTGTATTTTTTTATAGAGACTAAAGGATCTAAATGTTTCTTTTTCTTTGCTTCTAATTCACTGAAAATTTTAATTAACTTGAATCGTTGTTTATACGTCCCTTAACATACATCAATAAACACAAGCATACATATTAAAAAAGATTATCAAGACTAAGAAAATTAAATGATTTTAAGAGATCTAAACAGACATGTCAAAACAGAAATTGATAGGTTACTGCAAATGCATAAAAGAAAAACCCAAGGGAGAATGTAACCTGGAAAATACAAAATTTTAGAACTGGTTGGAACATGCGAATACACGACACCTGGTTTTTAAAGAAGCAAGTCCCCTGATAACTTAAGAATCAGAAAGGTTAAAAGGCAAAGTGTTGTGAAGATAAAGAGAATATAAGAAAGTTCTTTAGAAATGTTAGATCTCACAACAATGAAGTATGCCTAAGACAGCGCGAGCTACTGGTGTATAAATTATTCCTAAAATGGGAATTAAGAAGGAAAAACTGGTTGAACCTAGTATTTCACCCTGAGAATAAAGAAAACTTGAAGTGATGAGAACTTACCTAGAAAAACCCAGATGTGGAGTTTGCATGCAATATGGCAGCAGAAAAAATTAGAATTGCAATAAAAAATTGCTTGTTGTCTGGAGCAGAATCAATGTCAGATAAGAAAAGGATTAACACAACAGAAAAGTTTGGAGTTGTAACAAAACTGTGAAGACATTAAAGGCTAAAAAAGGAAGAATATAGACGACGGGTAAAAACAAAATGTGAAAAAGACTGCTAAGCTTTTAAAATACTATTATAAATCAAAGATGAAAGATGGGGGTGGTCTGGGCTAAACGAAATTATTACAAGAATTGAGCTAATAAATTGAGTAAAGAAGATGGTAAAAATGCTGCATATATCATGACTGAATTAAGGAAAAGAAAAACAGAATTTCGTGTAAACTGTAAAAAGATAGCTAAGATAATATCATCTTAAACTTCTTTGGTCACATTGCTCGTGCTAGTCTTATGGAGGATCATTACCGGGCTTTAAAAGCTGTCATAGCCGCCGGACTGGACTCGACCGCGCGGCCGTCCAAAGCAGTCATGGATTCGCTTAGTGGAGAAGGACCTGTCTCTCATCAACTACGGTCCCTACTCGGCCAAAAGACTTGCTCATGATCGCTTGAAATGGAGGCACCTTGTGAACACGACAACGTCTCGTTATGGGGCACGCCCATAATAATAATAATAAAATCGCAAGGAGAGAAAGGATGTGGAGTGAATATATAATAAAAAATTGCTAAATTTTACTACAAATATAAATGATGCTAAAGTAGATAGATTCTTCAAAATAGAGGTTAAATAAGCAGTGAAAAAAAAACGAAGAAACGAAAACAGGTAAAGCCCAAATATTTCAAAAAATGTAGTAGAAATGTTGAAGATAGCATGTAATTCACCGATACTTCAAAATAGAGGTTAAATAAGCAGTGAAAAAAAAACAAAGAAACGAAGACAAGTAAAGCCCAAACATTTCAAAAAATGTAGTAGAAATGTTGAAGATAGCATGTAATTGGATAAACTGACAGGTTTATTGGATAAAGACTTAATCAGGGTTCCTCGTCTTTAATCAACTGTTTCAATGTGTACAAAGCAGCTACCTGTTTTTTTATTGTCGCACGGAATAAACTGTGAAACGAACATGTTAGTGAAAATGAAGGATCAGCGTTTAGGAGACTTGCTGAAACAAGATGGAAAAAGAAAAAAATCTTGACAGATGAATTTAAGTTTGCGAAGAAAAATTTTAAAAATTTATTGGGGCATACAGTGATGGCGGCAAACAGCTTATTTTAAAATATAAAGACATAAAATTTGACTAATAAATAACTTTTGTATATATTAGTTAGTGATAGAGTCATGGAAAGAGAGAAAAACGATAGAATAGAGGCAAAAAATAATAGTTCCTTTGGAAATATAAATATGGGTTCTAAAAACGACTGGAGTACAACAAAAATTACTGCCTGAAGTCAAAAAGAGCAAGTTAAACTACATTGGTCACATCATCAGGAAACACCAATGCTTGAAAAAGGATATAATACAAGGGACACTGTCCGAATCAAAACGAAGAGGAAGGTAGAGAAGGAAATGGATTGATGACATAATGAATTGGACGCATTTTAAAATGGAAGAGTTGCTGAGAAAGACGCAGTACAGAGTTAACGAGTTAACTGGAAAAAACAGGTTCATGATGCAGCCTATCATATGATCGAGGAGGATGGTTAAAGACAAGACAAAGTTAGTGATCAAATTAAACATTTTTTTACTTGAGCATATACCGAATTTAAATTTATTCATATTTAAAGTATAAAAAATTAAGTTTGAATTTTTGTAAAATCGAATTTTAAAAAATACCCTGTAGATTGAATTTTTCTATGTGGATCACAGTACCATGGTCTTTTATCTTTAAATATAATATAAAATCAATTTCTGAATATTTGAAAAATGTAAAATAGCATTTATTATGACAGATTAGTTTCAATCAACTAACAACAATATGAGCTGACCGGATCATGCATTGGCTTAACAATGGGAATATCATATTATTAATAATATATTGCTATTTATGTTATAATACAAATATCATTAATATAATGATATTATTAATATTATAAACATTATGTTGAGAATAATACTATATGTTATTGGAAATGATTAACTGGCCATGAACAATATTGGCTCATTGATTCAGCTGTCCATGTAGAGCGGCGGATTTTAGTGAGCAGTGATTTTATTAAAAGTCAGTAAAACTCAGTTTTAAGACAGGAAAACAACGTTTATAAGCAGAAAATTGACAAAAATTGTTGTGATAAACGGAAAAAAGTTTGGTCACACAGCGAACACTTGGATAATTTTTTGCCCTTCCGTCAAAATTTTTAAAATTTTGACCCCCCAGACAACGTTGTCTAGACCCGCCACTATCCAGGTATGATGCTGTTTGGACCAAACTTTAGTAGTTAGTTCCAGAAAAAAATAATCAAAAGCAATACAGGCGGAAGTTCAACCTGCGAAATAAAAAACGCCAAGAATTAAATTTTGAAAGATTACAAAGGAGTTTAGTTATAGTTGTAGGGAAACTAAACTGTGCTGTTTAAAATTTTGAAAAAAGAATCATGATTAGCGTTGATTTTTGGATATTGTTGCAGTTGCGCTATGTATGAGGACACCGAACCAAGACAGGGAGAGCTGTGTGCAGGAGTGAAAAGAAAAGAATAGTATTTGTTTGGATAGGCTGGACAGTTGTTTCATCCCTACCGGGAACTCATCAGCAGCCTGAATACCTATCAGAATAGTTGTCACAGTTTCTTCTTATACAGTCCCCACAAATCATTTCGTTAGTTTGTGGTGTTTTTATTTATTTTATTTTATTTATAACCGTTAGTTTTAGTCATTAGTGTTTGCAAGGTTTTTAGTCGTTAGGGTTTGCGATTCGACAATATGAATCCTAAAAGTTTTAAAAATCACATTTGAATATCTAAAACTTAATGGAATTATCAGTCACAGTGAGCCATCAATTATCAAGAGCTGTAATCTAAAAATATATAGAATTTCTCCATATCTCCGCAAATGTATTCATAAATGATATGTATTGATATCTCAATTCAACTTCTTCAAGATGTTAGCAGGTCTTAAGAATCTTTTTCCTTTACAAAGTTTGTTGAAAAAACTCAACACATTCTAAATGCAAGAAACTACACAACTTTAATAGCGATTGTAGCTAAAGCTAGCAACTAAAACCTGGATAACAAAAGCTGTGTTAACGTGGATAACAAAAGCTCTGCTGAACGCTTGTGAATAATCTTCAAATCAAAATACATAGATAAGTGAAACAGAATTAAATTAAAATATATACAACCTTCTAGTTCAAATGACCCTTGACCTAAATAAGATAGTATGCCTAATGACTTTTCCTGCTTTTCTTTTTCATATTTTTGTTCCTCTTCGTGCTGTTTGTTTTTTCTTGGTAACTTTTCCTGCAAAAAACGAAATTTACTCAAAATATCAAAATTGGAATACCCGCTAAAACATACTCCAGTTTCCAGATTTTCAAAAAAGTTCACATGCTTGTTATTATTACATTCCTCATCAACAAATGTTTCTTGCCTTTTGCTGGCCAAATGTTTTAACATTCTACTCCTTGATTCTGATTCCTAAAGAAAAAAATCATTGTTTTGAAGAACACATTTGTATAATGTCACTCATGTTAAATGATAATGTTGTTGAACTGTAAACTTAAAATATAAATTAAACAAGATATAATTAACTTATAAAACAAGTGCCATATAAATAAAAGCACACGACACACACATACACGCGCGCAAGCACACACACATGCCCTATTATGCAGCTAGTATTCAGTTTTAGTTTTATTATATTAGTTTTATTATCATTACTGAAAATGCTTAATAAGTTTTTGTTTTAATGTTAACTTAGTTTTGAGTGATTTTGTAGAAATTAATTAATTTAAAATAAAGTTGGCATTAAATTCAAGCTATTTTGAATAAACTATGTTGAACTATCTCAGGCTATTTTGGATAAATTATGTCAATGAAAGATCAGAATTCTGACATTAAGCAAATTTCATATGGAAAAGCTGAGCTCTGGAAAATGAAACAAAACAACAACGCTCCTTCAAGAAGTTATAAATTATTTATTCAAGCGCAAAATTTTGAAACCTAGAGTTGAGCAAAATGAATAAATAAATAATTCATTATACATATATATATACATACTACTTACAGCAAGTCCAATTCTTCTCTGCTTTTCTTTTTCATCATTGGCTGCTTTTTCTTCATCTCGTCGCACCCTTTCTATGTTTTTCTTGTTCCTCACATGCCAACTGTAAAATTATAATGACATTACACACACACACACACACACACATATATATATATATATATAAGATTACCATAACACTGACAGTTTAAAACCTAGACCACAGTTCTATGAACAATATAAAACAGATTTAAAATAAAATGTTAAAAATTATTTTTGTTTATTCTTACAATGTCCTAATATTAGGCACATGGTTTGGTGCACTAAAAAAATTATAGGTAGACAAAAAAATTATAGGTAATCAAAGCTGTACAAAAAAAGTAAATATTGCTAGTTGTTGCAAAACTAAAGGGGTCGTCCGCGATAAGGGGTCGTCCGCGATTGGGATGGAGAGAGCAGGTGGAGAAGGACAGGGTGAAAGCGGGGTTGCGTGATACTGAGGCGAGTGACAGATGTGGATGGAGTCGAGGGGTATTTCGGTTTCATCATAGGTAGCCAAACGGCAACCCCCGATCTCGGGGAAAATGCCGTCTAAACGTGTGTTGTTGTTGTTTGTTTTGTTGCAAAACTAAAAAAAACTGTAAGTGAATGGAAGCTTGTACTAATCAAAGCTGATGTATTTTGGTGTATTTTGCTAGTTGTAAAACTTGAAAATATCATTTTGATGATTTTCAATTAATTTCTAGGCCATGTTTGATAAAACAAAAATAGATATCACTGACAAGTGTGCATAAATTTGCACAATTTTTAAATGTTCATGGTCAAAAAACTTTCAATATTCACAACCATAATATTAATAAAAACATTTTTCTCCATGTGCCCAAAAAATTGATGACATAAAATTAAAATACAAATAAAAAACCTACGGTGAGAGCACACAGAACACAGCTTTTTGCTGCTTTAGTGTGTAAAGCAGAGTACATATGCAGTGTAAAATAGCAAAATACTTCCAATACATGAAGTAAATATCAATTTAGATCTGTTTCTGTGCTTTATTTTACAAAGTAATTGTTAATTTATATGTAAATGAACAGCTAATGTCTTCTTAAAGGTCTGTCACCACATCAGTTTGTCTAAAAAGTAATTTCTTTCAGAATCAGTGACGTTTCCTTAAAGAGTCTTGCCATCTTCAAATCCGATTCCAAACGATCATTCCATCTGTTTTTGGGTCCTCCTTTTATCTTTTTTTTTGTTCTGTTCATATTTCCTCATTTTCATTTGTTTCATTCCATTTCATCTGTTAATTGTCTAATCTTTTGGTCTGTATGAAGCTGTCAAAGCCATAGAAGCTGTCAAAGCCATTGGACGGTTTTCACGTGCATCCATTTATTACATTGTTGATATTATATTCCATTTTTCAGGACCATAGCCAAAACCAGCCCTACACAAACAGGGAATACTTTTAATTTGATTGTTATAGAAAGTTATGTTTCTTGAATGTTTTTTCATTTTTTCTGGAATGTAGTTTTTGCCAAAGCTTTTCTTCTAATTATTTCCCCTTTACTCTTCAGTCTGAATTTATTTTACTTACAAGATATGTGAAATTTTTTGGTCTTTTAAGTACAGCCATTGTTCATTTTTTACTGGCATGAGTTTTATTTTTCAAGTTAATTTTTAAAACAAATTAGCTGCTTTTGTCACTGAATGCTCCACCATATTCATTACATGCATTCAGCTAGTAAATAGATGTTGTCAGCACACTACACGTTCTTTATTTCTGTATTTTACAGCAAACAGACTTTTCAATGTTTTCCTTTTTTAATTTCTGGTTTGGTTGGGAGATGTAACCCCACCCTAGATCTACTACTACCGTTAAGTTTAACAGTATCTATTATATTAAATAATTTTTTTAAATAGTAGACTACGGTCAGCACATCACACACAGTCAGCAGTTGCTGGCATTTTACTTTAGTGATTATGATTAGTTAATAATGATGTTGTTATGTTAAGTAAGTTAGTACATCTACTTTTTAGTTTTTAGAAACAAAAATAAACCACGCGCCTCCGTAAATTTATTAAATTGAAAAAGTGAGAAAAACAACCTCTTTTTTGGTAATATATTCATTCTTCAGGCTAATTTCATCGGATTCGCTTTTAAATCCAGTATCGCCGTTGAACTCTTAACTTTTAAACATTAATTGTCACTTATATATACACACACACACACACACACACACATATTTATATATATATATATATATATATATATATATATATGTATATTAAACAAAACATATACAATTTTTAGACATATTAAAAGCGACAAAATTTCATGGAAAAACAAACAAAAAAATTAAAAAAAGTTTTTTTTTATTTGACAACTAAACTTAATTACTACCTTCAATACGAAAAAACTGTTTGATTCAACAACTACCTATTTTTATCACATCTATCTTATTACACAATTTCCAAAATATTCAACTCATTTGATGCTGTGGTGTTTTGTATAACTGACTTTCTCTGTAGTATTCTTTCGATTATAGACTCTACTCAGGGCATGAAATTTGAAACTTGAATTGCTCTATCTTATCTCATAACTTTGGGCGTTGTGATGGCCTAGTGGTTAAGGTTGCCCGGTGCCGTTTCGCCAACATCGTGTAAAACTCTTTAGTATAGTTGATCTTGAACAACTGTGCATAATTTCCACATTCAAACCAGCTGCCTATGTAACTAAAATTGCATTAAATTTGTACTACATGGTCACTTTTGCCCAGAGAACTTAAATCTTCTGTTATAAACTTTTCATCTGTTATCACCAGGTCTATAATCTGAGAGTTTTGATTTTTCCTGAATCTTGTCGCTTTCATCACGTGTTGTAATAAAATGTTTTTCCTCAAAATTTTTTTTGCAGCTGCCCTTTCTGTCTTTTCCGATCTGCTCCAGTCGATACGACAATCTGCTCTCATTTTACCATTTTTTTAACTAAATTATGATGCAAACATTTTTTTTATATTTATCGTTTGATTGAAATATATTTTTTAATCATTTGAAATCAAAAGTACAACTTTTTTATTTTAAAAGTGAATTCGATTGTAGACAAATCAGTAAACATTTCTTTCCGATTGCTTATAGTTGTAGTTTATTTGTGTTTCTGTTGACATTCGGTTATGAATTAGTAGTTAGTCTTATTGTTGTGCGCCGCCGTCTGCTCAAATATTAATTACATCGCTTGTTTTGTGATGGCAGAAGGTTGCTTCTTTCATATTTAAACCACAATTTTTTTTTTAATTTAGAAAAAGAAAAAGAGGTGTATTGCATCTGTATGAAAAATTACAATTTCGTATCATATGATTGCAATTTCGATATTTCATGTATGTGATATATATATATATATAATTATATATGTATATAATTTGAGATATGAATTTGACACACCTGTATACAAGTGTGTAAAGTTAGAAATATTTGTTTTCAGAGTGTAATTAAGTTATGATAACTAAATTACACTCTGAAAACAAATATTTCTAACTTCACACACTTGTATACAGGTGTGTCAAATTATAAAAAAAATAAAAATAAAATCATAAAAGATATAATTGACAAATCCATTTGCCAATTTAAACTAAATAAATTGAATGTGTTTTTTTTAACAGTGGAATGAAAAGGATATAGAAAAATGAAAAATGATTTTATTATGTAAAAGTAAATTAAGATCTAAAAAATATTTTAATAATTAACTGAGGCAAGACAAGCATTTGATGAATAAAAATATTAGGTTTGCATTGCAATTGAAATAACCTTTAAAAAATAATTAAATATATTTTGATAATGCTCTAATATATTTATTCTTTAGATAATTAAATATTGACAAGATAGTTGAATCATTTTTTATCTTAATTTTCAATTAAGAAGAATAATGCATAATACTAATTGTAGAATTATAGAAAGAAGAAACGAAGATTGTACATGTGTTTTATGGATCTAGAAAAGGCTTTTGATCTAGTACCGAGGAAGGTCATTGAATGGGTGTTGAGGAAGAAAGGAGTGAATGAGAAACTTGTTAAAGCTGTGATGCAGCTATATGAAGGGGCGAAGACAAAGGTGAGGGTCAGAAGGGGGATGTTGGACGCTTTTAGTGTTAAGGTAAGAGTGCATCAAGGATCAGTGTTATCACCGTTTTTGTTTGCAATTGTGATGGATGTTGTGTGTGGAAACATAATGGAGGGGATGTTATTTGAGATTTTGTATGCAGATGATTTAATCTTGATGGCTGATAGCATGGAAGAATTGCAGTTAAAATTTGACAGATGGAAAAGTGTTATCAAAAAGAAAGGGTTAAAAGTTAATATTGGTAAGACAAAAGTAATGGTGAGTGGGGAAGGTGGGGAGCGAGTGATAAGTAAAATAGACCCCTGTGGGGTATGTGACAGGAGAGTGAAGGCTAACTCTGTATTGTGTATAGGATGCCAGAAGTGGGTGCATAAGAGGTGTAGTGGTTTGAGGGGAGAACTGAAAAAGGCGGAAGGCACGTTCAAATGTAAGAAATGTGTTCATGGTGTGATTAATAGGACGGATGCAAGGACGGGGTATTGTGTATAGGATGCCAGAAGTGGGTGCATAAGAGGTGTAGTGGTTTGAGGGGAGCACTGAAAAAGGCGGAAGGCACGTTCAAATGTAAGAAATGTGTTCATGGTGTGATTAATAGGACGGATGCAAGGACGGGGTTATTTAGAGGTTAAGCTGAACGCGGATGGAGGATGTTTGAGCGCTGTTACGGCAAGAGTTCATGTGGGATAGATAAAATTTAGGGAACTTGGTAGGGTATTGTGTGGAAAGAAATGGTCAGTGAAGATGAAAGGGAGGGTATATAAAGCATGTGTGAGAGCAGCGATGGTATATGGTGGTGAAACTTGTGTGTTGAGAAGAGAGGAGGAAAGTGTACTACAGAGGGCTGAAAGAGCTATGGTGAGGATGATGTGTGGGTTTAAAGTGAAGGATAGGAGGAGTAGTACAGAGCCGATGTCGATGATGGGACTGAATGAGGACATTGTAACATTGATAAGGAGATCGAGCTTGCGGTGGTATGGACATGTGTTGAGAAGGGATGAAAGGGTCGGGATTAGGCGAGCATTGGAGTTTGAGGTTGAAGGAGTGATAGGGAGGGGTCGTCCGCGATTGGGATGAAGAGAGCAGGTGGAGAAGGACAGAGAGAAAACGGGGTTGCGTGATACTGAGGCGAGTGACAGATGTGAATGGCGTCGAGGGGTATATCGGTTTCATCATAGGTAGCCAAACGGCATACCTCGGGGAAAATATCGTCTAAACGTGTGTTGTTGTTGTTGCACAATACTAATTTAACTTATCAAGATATTTTACTTTTACATAGTTTGAAATGTCATTTTCCACACCATTCAACTGTTAAATTTGATGTTATATTCAACTTAAAGAACAGTGTCAATTATGTCATTTAAATGCCTTTTTTAAGTTAAGCTGCAACAGCTCTACACAATGACTAAAGTTAATAAATTGAAAACAAATTTATTATCATTGTTAGTCTTTTTGTTTTAAAATAAACAATTTTTTTGCTTTAAAATTGTATAAGTTGTGCAAGTTGATGAAATAGCAGTGAAAATTTTCACTTGAAAATGTCATAAGTTATGAATAAGGAGTGGTTTTTATTCACAAATTTCGCAAGTGAAGTTTTAAATAAATTTCAACTTAAATCTGAATAAATAACTTCTTAAGCCAAAAATTTCAAAATTTAGCTATTAGGATAAGATCTAATTATTAAAGCATTAAATTTAAATAAAAATATTTACCAAATTAGTGTGGAAAAATCTTTATAGCATATTTTCATCAGCAGTTTATTAAGTGGTTGTACATTATTTAAAATTTTAATTGAATAACCAACAAATGAATGTGATGTCCTGGCACGTTGAAGCAAATATGTACAACATAGTAAATGGGATGTCATATTTTTACATTCCGTTAAATAATATATGCTATTAAATTAAAAAACTGGAAGGATAATAGGGACAACTTAATTTAGACTTGTTATTTTTGGAAACATTTTAAAAAATTGTTGTCTCACATGGAATATTTTGATATCGACAGAGATTCAAAAGCTGAACATTCACATGCAGCTGCTGAAGGATGAGTATGTTAAGTTACAGAAGAAATATAAAGAGCTTGAAAAAAAATGTGAGATTAATCAATGTGGCAGTGCTGAAAACAACTTTGTGACAAAACTTCTGCAGTTCGTTCATGATCTTTACAATAGTTCAAATTATAGGTTAGTTGTTTTCAGATGTGTACATAATGCTTAATTATTTATGATTGTAAGACTTACTGTGTAACACTTAGTGACGTGACAATAAAAATGCCTACTGGAATGCTGCCTGGACATCGATTTGTCTTTGCTGCTCGAAGTTCAAAATGGGTTTTCGAAGAATCCAATAACTCTATTATTTTGGATTTTTCTGGTTATTTTGAAAAATTGTTTTTAATGATTGTAAATTTTTGTTAACTATATTTGATATGAAAGAAAATAAATTGTATGATCAACATTGTTGTACAAATTTTTTGTGCTTTCGATAACATCATGTGTCTTACAAACTCTTTTCATTTCTTGCTATTGCAACGATTATCAGCTAATATATATTCATATTTATTGCTTTTCATTTAGTCATTCATCAGTTTTTGCTTCTATTGCAATGATTTTTTTTACGTAATTTCAATGTCTCATTTTCAGGTTTTCATTTTCCTGCTTTTAAGATATGCTCATTAGTTAAATTTAGCAGCAATATATGTTGAAAAATTAAGATAAAAACATTTGAAAACAGTGTATCCAAACAATGTAGCTCAGGCAGTTGTCAAATGGACGTACACAGATGAAGTTGAATGGTATACTGATGAGAAGGAAGAAGATTTTTTATTGAACTTACTACGAGCTGCACATCAGTTTTATTTGCTACCTTTGAAAAACAGGTTAGAAATTAGATTATAGCAATATAAATATAAGATTGAAATAATAAATTTGCCTATGCATTGACATTAAAAATATTTTTTTGACGCTCATTTCACTGCATGCCTATCACTGCATCATTCATAAAATTTAATCTGAATCGGTTGAGATGTTAAAGGAGTATTATTCTTATTACATAGCCCAAATTGGTTGACATTTTTTAAAGAGTTTTTAATTTATTTAATAGCACACAATGCTAGTTATGAAAAATGGCTTATAATTTGAATTGTTTTTGCTAATTTTTCAAGTTTTGTTTTTTCAACCCTTATAAAATTTTATTTCCAATTTGTAAAAATTTTCATGTTCAATGTGAAACTATTTAAAATTTTTTGCATGAATTTTACCAGTTGTGAACAGAGATTGATATCATATTCAGGATCAAATAATTGTTTGAGATATTATCAAGTGGCAGATGACGTTGAAGCTTTGGCCCTTAAAAACTATTCTGCTCAAATCATCTCAAACTATTGGGTTAATTTCTTTTATAATTGAGTTTGTATAATATTTTTTATTTTTATTATGTGTATTATTTTATTTGAAATAATCAGGGCTTTATAAAATTTATGTTATTTAAAAAATCTTTGCATGTGTGTATCCTTCTATGGGATGTAGAGACTTGAAACGTTTCTTTCGACTTCACGTCCACCCATCAACATCCCAACGTGCCATGTTTCGACACTAGCCAAAATAGTATTGAGTTTTTTTAAGTTTCTTTTTTCTTTTCTAATGTTGGGGGGTAACCGCATCCAGATTGAAATGAGCTGAGCATGGCTTAAGCTTATTAGATTGACGTGCATCACCAAGTTACGATAAAATATAATTTCAATGAACAATTTTAGTAGTTTATTCAATACGAACAAAATAATTCATTTTTAATTATTTTCAATCATGTTTATTATAATACTTTTCATTCCACATAGAATTGCTTTCAAAGAGTGATTTTTATTTTAAATTCAAAATGTACAATTTTATTTCTTTTATTTTAAAAAATGATGTAGGAAACTAAAAATAGCATTAATTTCTTAAATTTAAACAAAAAAATGTTCATATAAACACACCACATTCTACCTTCACATTATAAGGTTGCTTTATGCTCAACCACCACATTTAGAGAAAAAAATGAAATAAAAAACTAAAATATTTTGGCTGCCCTATAATAGATTACGTTGGGATGACTGGATCGTGGTCCTGGTTATGACATTAAACTGACCCTCACTGCCTTGTGAGTGATGTTGGATCATCAAAGGCTAGGCCCACCGCTTATAACTGTGGTTGCGTAAGGAAGGGCGTCCTGTGTAAAAACTAGCCAAATAATAAATGCTTATGATGATGACGGAGAAAACAATGGCCCTCAGTATCCGGCAGAAGAGGGTGCGAAGAATCTCCGGAGACCCAGTCGATGGGGTTGTGGTGCAAGGCCCTGTGGATGGTCTGGCTACTGGCACCCCACTCTATAGTGTGGCGGTGCAAGGCACTATAGATGGAAGGACTACTTGTAGACCAAGGGGTTGGAGGTTTGGTACCTGGAATGTAGGCACGTTGACAGGAAGAAGTTGGAAGTGGTGGAGGAGCTGCAGAGGAGAATGGTGA